GAACTATTGCAGTAGGTAATACCGTACATAGAAGAACCGTTGTTTTGATGAGGATATATCAAAATATTTTTCAATATTATTTTAACCTTTTCCAGTGAAGCAAATGGACTACAGTTGTTATCAATCGTATGGAGAATACATGAAGTCAGAAAAAACCAACGAAAACCCCCTAACTGAAATCAAACAATTTTTTTCCTTTGTCTTGTACACTACAGACATAGGGTAAAAATCTTCATTATTATAGTAAGTTTGCCAAGAACTTCAGTGATGCCAGAATTTCACCTGTAATTTTTCCAGCCCTGTAAGGATTTTAGTGTACTGTAACAAATTATCTGATTGTCATGAAAAAGTGAATAGAGCCTTTCCTTCCATATGTTACTAAGGAAAACTATTTTGGTTTATATTAATTAGTAAGTAAAAAGGGACCTTAAAGTTAAGAAAAAAAAAATGGTAATTTATTTCTAGCTATATTTGGTAAATAATTGTATCTGAAACAGTTACTAGAGTCTGAAAACTTCAGTACATTTTAGTAAAATAGATCTCATCAGTATCCAGTTAATTTTCAGTGCCAACCTGTATTCACTTTATGAAGATAAGTAATGAAAATTTTCTCACAATATGTTTGCTTGGTGCTACGTAGTTTCCAAAGGGTCTGTGAAAATATGATTAGCTTTTTGTCGGTTTTCATTCCAGAAAGGTGAGAAAGGAGATCCAGGCATTCGAGGCATCAATGGGCAAAAAGGAGAATCTGGTATTCAGGGTTTGGTTGGACCTCCTGGTCTCAGAGGTCAGCCAGGAGACAGAGGACCCCCCGGACCACCTGGATCAGATGGAAAACCAGTATGTATAGGGCTTCAAACTTGTCATTTTGAGTTCCTTAAAACCCCCCCAAAAATGCATGCTTTCTGGTTTTTCAACTGTTCTCTGTTCAATTCAGGCACGAGAATATACAGAAGAATTTATTCGACAGGTGTGTTCAGATGTCCTGAGAAGTAAGTTTGAAAGCCTCTTTACTGTTCTTTCCTTGTTTAAAATGCTAAAGAAGTTTCCTGATTATTATAAAGATGCTTTCTTGAAAGCAAGATCGATATTGCTGATTTATCACTTGTTTTCCTACAGTGATATTTCCACACCACAGGTTCCATGCTTTACCATCTTGTTACCTAAAGGCATCATCATATGTTCTAAAGAGAGGAAACTGGTTTTGTATTAGTGGCTATGGGGCAATATCTTCATATTTTGTTGTGACAACCCTCTAGAGCATTTTTTTAATTGAATTCTTCCAGCCCAGTTGCCTGCCATCCTCCAGAGTGGAAGGCTACAAAACTGTAACCACTGTCAATCCCAAAGTGCTTCCCCGGGACTTCCAGGACCACCAGGTCCAAGAGGCCCTGAAGGCCCAAGAGGGTTTCCTGGTTTACCAGGAAATGATGGCATTCCAGGGCTGACAGGCATCCCCGGTCGTCCTGGGGCTCGTGGGACAAGAGGTACTGCATGCATTTACTGTCTGCTACCCCGTAGGCTGATTCTTGGCATGTGACAACCTTTATAGTCCCTCTGATTTCCTGGGTTTTTCTCCTTTTGTTCTTTTTTTTATCTCATAATGATTTTTACTCCTTCCTTTATGCTTTTCTTAAACATTCTGGTTTCTTTATAGTCAAACTAAGGTTTATGCTTTCAGGTAACTCATCTGTCCAAGTATTCCAACTGATTTCTGTGATATATTTGCAGACTTTAAGTATGCATATATAGTCCAGAACTAGACTAAGAGACTGGGAGAAGTCTGTAATTTGGTAACTGGTCCCAGCAACGCCTTTGTTTCCCATGGCATCAAAATAATAATGCTATATGAAATGCAGCTAACTGGTCATGTGCCAAGGGTAGGCAGGCAAATGGTTTGTAATCATTTCCTTTCTTTGTGACTTATTAACTGTGACCTAGCACATCAAATTGATTTTGGATATAATGATTTGTCTGTAGTCCTTTTATAATTTCACCTCCAATAGAAGCATGTGCAGTTTTCCTCTGGATCTGACACTGACAGTTCCAGCTATTCTGTAAGAGTTGGAAAAAAAGGTATCTCCATTTCTATGAAGAAACTGAATTTATTTGGTTGTACTAGTGTGAAAGCGCACATATTTTGTCCCCCTCAGTGTTTCTTTGGTGGAGATTTCATTCTGCCATATGTTGTAGAAGATTATCTATCTATTCTGTGTTCCACAGGGACTACGGTGAATATCTTACACTTCCTTCATACAACTTCTTAAAAACTTTGCCAATGGAAAGGCAATGACAGCAAATGTCTTAATTGCCCATCATCTGCTCCCTCAACTCATAGTGGCTGTCTGCTAAACAGGTGCTACCTCAGCTCTTAATTCAGTAGAAATGAGGGTAATTTAGAACCCAGTTACACTGTGCAAATTACAAGGAAATGCTTATTCTACATCCCATTATTTCCTTTTGAACTATTACATTTTGTATTCAATAAGTATTGTCAATTACTGACTTCCTGAATCATTGGATGAAAATATTCTTAGTGTGCAAAGATGTACATGTGTTTGCTAATTCACAGGACTGCCAGGGAAAAATGGCGCAAAAGGGAATCAAGGAATTGGGGTTCCTGGGATCCAAGGCCCCCCAGGACCTCCAGGTGAGGGATGGTTCATCTGGGCAGATTCAGTGCATGCTAACAATTTAACTGCTTAGAAAAAATGTTCATATGATTTGAAATACTTAAATAGTTTTTATACATCTTAATTACCATGTATGTTTTATGACTAATGCCTGTCTCTTGCATGCCTTTTAAATTGTTGTAGAATACATTATTTAATACAAGACAGGTCTTGTAGAGATTGGTACCTAGGCTGTGTTTCTTGATAGATGGATCTTGAAGTCAGCCATTACCTGAAAACTGAGCAAGCATCACTTACTGAAGGAAAACCTTATTCCTAACGGCAGTACATTCATGCAAAATGCAAAGTTGAGTGTTTGGAAGAGATATTAGGGGCTGATCCAAAGCCAGAGAGACAAATAGATATAGGACTCTGACTCATGCCATGGTGGTTCCCGATTATATGGTAAAGTATAACAGTGTACTAAAGTAGGATTTATATTTCCTTTTAAAAGCTATTTTTATTTAAAATATTTTCCACATGCTTACAAAAAAAATCTTAATAAGGTATCATGTTGTTTATATAAACATTTAAGCAGTTTGTGACAAGAAGTGTCTTTTTCAGAAAATGAAGTTTTCTTTATCTGCCTATTTGACAAAAGAGCAGGGGATTTGTGGGTCCCTACTTGCTCTTGTTTTGATTTTAATAAAAATACTCTGTAATGTATTTTTTATTGCATGTGTGTCATTAAGGTCCTGAAGGTCCACCAGGTATGAGTTCAGAAGGACGTCCTGGAGAGCGTGGGCAGCCTGGTAAAGATGGAGATCGTGGCAGTCCGGGAATGCCAGGACCAGTTGGACCTCCTGGAATTTGTGACCCATCACTATGTTTTAGTGTAGTTGTGGGGAGAGATCCATTTAGAAAAGGACCAAATTATTGATTTGTGATACAATAATTTAGAGGAACAGGTATGGTGCTTGTCTTTTATGGTCTTTCAAGTCTCAGGAAGGTGACCAGCAATAATCCCATAAGCAGGAACAAAAGTACCTCTGTCATTATAAGCATTATAAATAATTATCCCAAAGGTTATATGTTCCTTTAGAAAAGAAACTCCAATATTGTTTTCATAACTTACATCAGTTGAATCTCAAGTGTTTTTAAAGAGATCATCAGTTTTAATAGGAATAAAATTAACTATAATATTTGATATTTAGTATTTAAGTGCCCTGTCATACTCCTGTTACCACTGAAGTCCTTTGCAAAATTGCTGGCGATGCCACTGGGAGGAAGATTAGGCCTTAAATGGTATTGGTCAGGTATAAATTACTGTGAAATTTTTCACATGCAGCCAACATAGACAGTATCTGATTTTGAAAGAATGTGGCTGACTTTGACTTCATATGTGTGTGAATCTCATTGGCTTGTGCACATTTCATATGTCATAGCTCCAAGTGTTCTGTGGGTGGAAGTATATATCAGATTTTTATAAATTAAAATAAATATTTGGACTTATGGAAGTAATATCACTTATTTTGCCATGCAACTCTTTGCTTAAAACTGAGGTGAAATGCAGGGGTAGAACTACTGCTTCAAGGAGGACCAAGGTTTTGTTGAAGATGGTACTGTCAGTTACAAATGGTCGAAAGGTTCCTTGTGGGTGATTCAACTTATATGAAAATAGCATTAAAAAATAAGAACAAAAAAGTGGTATAGGTGGCTTGTAGCTATGATTTGACAAAAATAAAAGTTAAAAAATGTTTGCACAACCCCAATGTAACAGTTCTGCATAATTAAGTTATAGACCCTTTGCTGTTTCTCCCCAAGGACCGCAGTTGCCAAATTGAAGAAGCAGATTTACAAGGAGAAAGGTCTAACTGCTGGCTGACTAGCTGCGATGTTTGTTACGCTGTTTCCTTTTTCATTTTAAGCAAGCTATGTGTAATTTTCATTGTATGCTTTGCTAATGAGGTGTATTGCTTGCTTTTACATAAAAATCAAAGGCACAGTTCCCATGAGAATTTAAAATCCATTTCTTAAATTAAGGCAGAGTCTTGTATTGAACTTAACCGACGCTTTATAAGTGGCTTTTTCTAATGTGTTGTTTTTCTGTTGTCCGACTATCAGAGATTGGTAAATGCTTGACATTCAAGGTAAAATAAAATTTTTTAAAGAACTGGTGGTAGTTTGATGAGCGATTGCAAGATTTGCCTATGTCACAGAAGAGAGTGATGCCTGTAATACATGGAGGGATGGTTCCACCTTGCAGCTGTGCTTTTTTTTCCCCTCAGCATCCTTCCATTTCCTCTAGATAAAGCACCGTCCGTGAGAGCAGCACCCAGAGCTGCGGCCCACAGAAGGGTGCTTGCAGTGAGTAGCTTAGCCAAACCACAGCCATGGTTATAGCAGAGTGCGATCATTACCATCTCATAAAACCTAGTCTAAAAACCTCCAAGATGATTCTAGTCATGGACCTGAGAAATGAAGCTGTGCATGAATTTTTCTCCCCAGACAAGTATGTCTTGGTTCACACTGTAGGACTGACTTTGCACATGTGAACAAGCATTGATGAATTTGTAGAAGAAAGAATCTAGAAACCTTTTATTTTCTTGTGTTCAATCTCACCCTGTTTATTTTTTGAGAGCTGGAAGTGAAACATGTTGCTAGGTCAGGGAGGCATCAGGATCCCAGTGTGTTTGGAGAACCTTTCCAAGCTGTCCACGATGCATGCTAATTTAAATCCATGTTTAAGACACCTTTTGCCATAAGATGTATGGTGGTGTGGCTGGTGAACCTGGGACGAATCAAGAACAACAGAAAAAGAGCAAGTCAGAAGGACCTCTGCATCAAACACAAACAGAAAACCAGAATTCCTTACTTGTAGAGAATCACAGTATTTGTTTTCATTATAATTTAAAATAACACATGTAGTTCTTCCACGTCAGAAACGTGGTGGAAAGGTTGGATAATTTTAATATTTCGTGGTGGTTTTGCATTCCTTTAGGCAAAATATTTCCTCCTGTATCTGAACATTTCAGTTTCATCAAGAGGAAGAAAAATTTTAGCGTAGTACATTTGACAGGAAAAAAATCTTGATTTATCATCCAGTCTGATTGGTAGCTTAGGTTATGGTTTCATTTGATTGAATTCACACATATACCAAGCTTCAATTTTAAAAGTAGTGGTTGTTTAGTCACCCCATTAGTCCTATTGGAGGGTTGTTTCTGAATGACTCTGACTGAGGCTCTATATGTAATTTGCAGTCTGCATCTATTAATGACCATTTTATATACCATCATTTTTATGGTAATGTTGTCTTTGGCTTGAGTTACTCCTTTTCTTTTGGCATCTTTTAGAAAACCAGTGTTCCCTGACAGCCTGTCATCTGCTAGGTTAGGCAAACAAACCTTTTATTTTCCACCTGTTTGAAAGGCTCTCCACTCCCTGTTCATCCTTGTAGTTCTCTGCTTCACTTTTTTGAGAGGGAATGAGTCATTCTAGAAGTATGTCCATAATTCTAGGTAAGGTGCCTCAGTGATATTGGTACTTACTCAAAGCATGTAGCTCTGTTCAGCTTCTCATTTTTGTAATTCTTGGTGTTCTGGTTTGGCTGGGACAGAATCACAGTGAGCAGTTTCAAAAGTCAGCCAGGGCAGCTGACCTGCGTGAGCTACAGGTGTAGCCCATGCTGTATGCGTCATGCTCATTATAAAGGGGGAAGGTTTGCTGAGGAAGGGGAGTTCCTGTGGGGTTCTTGCTGAGGTTTCTTCTGCTCCTTCTCTTCCTTCTTCTCCTACTCACAAGGACAGTGAGGGCCAGATATTCTAGGCTGAGTATAACTGTGTATGCTTTATTTGTTCTGTTGTTTGTTAAATCCGTGCTTGCTTCAACCTTCAGATCTCCTTTTCCCAATTCCCCTTCTCAACTGGGGAGGGGCCATCGAGTGATAGAATAACTGCTACAGTTTAGTCCCTCGTACAGGTGAAATGTAGACACTTGGTTAAGTTATATAAGAGTCATCTAGGTCTTCTCTGATGAACTAGTATTACCCAGATCTGTTACTTCTATTTTTTGTAGCTGATGAGCTCCTATAGGATAGGGAAATTCAGGTTGGAGGGGAGCTCAATTTGAAATAGCTATGCTTGTTAGCTCTTAAGTTTGTGAGCTTGCAGTTCATAGCACTGCATTTCGGAGCTTTCACTGTTCTAATTCCAAAATAAACTTCTTGTGTTCTGATCCTGCTTTCTTTTGATCTAGTCTTCATTAGCATGCTCCTACTTCTTGTGTCAAGGTCAATACAGAAACCAGTATTGTTGATCCAAAAACCACTTCTTAAAGCAATCAATTTTTTACCTATATCAATATTTCCCTTTGAATACCTCTCATCTACCTTGTTTTCTTACATATTTTATTGTTCTCTTAACTGGAAACCTCTGTCTTCATAGAATCATAGTATACTGCATTGGAAGAGACCTCAAGGGTGATCTGGTCTAACCTTTCTTGGCAAAAGCACGATCTAGACAAGGTGGCCCAGTACCCTGTCCGGCTGAATCTTAGAAGTGTACAATGCTAGGGAATCCACCACTCTCTGGGGAGATTATTCCAATGGCTGTTTTTTGTCCTTGTGAAAAATTTTCCTCTTGTGTCCAATGAGAATCTCTCCAGGAGTAAGTTGTGCTGTTTTTTGTCCTTGTGAAAAATTTTCCTCTCCAATGAGAATCTCTCCAGGAGTAAGTTGTACCTATTACTCCTCATCATCTTTATGTGACTTTTTAAGAAGGGAGTCTCCATTATCTTTGCAGCCGCCCTTTAAATACTGGAACATGGTGATAAGGTTTCCCTTAAACCTTCTCTTTTCAAGGCTGAACAAACCCAGTTGTCTCAGCCTTTCCTCATACGGCAGGCTTCCCAGGCCTTTGATCATCTTTGTGGCCCTCTTCTGGATCCTCTCCAGCCTGTCCACAGCTTTTTTGTACAGCGGGGAACAAAACTGAACACGGTATTCCAGGTGTGGCCTGACAAGCGCTGAGTAGAGTAGGGTAATGACTTCTCTGTCTTTATTGGTGATGCCCTTGTTGGTGTAACCCAGCATCCTGTTGGCTTTCTTTGCTGCAGCAGCAGTGCTCACTCATATTGAGCTTGTTGTCCATCAAGACTTTCAGGTCCCTTTCCACAGAGCTGCTCCCCAGCTGGGTAAATCCCAGCCTGCTGCACTCCTGGATTGTTTTCCCACATGCAAGACCTTACACTCATCCTTGTTGAACTTCGTAAGGTTCTTGTTAGCCCACACTCTTCCAGCCCATCCAGGTCTTGTGCAGGGTAGCTCTACCTTCTGAAGTGTCCACTTCTCCATTCACTTTGGTATCATTGTCAAACGTACCAACTCTTTCTTCACTGATGGGGGTCTGTGTTTGCATAGACCTGGATTTTTTTTCCCAGGGCCTGGGGCCCAACAGTGTTGGAAAAGATAAATAGAGGTGAAGAAACTGTTGAGAACCTCTACCTTTTCAGCATTGTTTGTGACTAATTCACCTCTCCTGTTTACCAGTGGGCCAATATTTTCGTTCTGTTTCTGCTTGTTGCTTACATACCTGAAGAACCCTTTCTTGTAGTTCCTGACATCTCTGGCCAATTTCAATTCAAGTTGAGCTTTTGTTTTTCTAACTGCATCTCTGCAAATCCTGGCAATACCCTTGTAGTTCTCAATGGGTATTTGTTTGCTTTTCCATCTCTGGTAGGCTTCTCTTTTGGTTTTGAGCAGACTCAGAAGCTCGCAGTTAAGCCAGTGTCTCTTGCTCTGTCTGCTTCCCTTACCTTTAAAGGGGATGAGCTGTTTGTGCTTCCAGGAGAGCATTCCAGAAAAACTCCCAGCACTCGCTAGCTCCTATGTCCTCCATGGAAGCTTCCCACGGAATCCCTCCCAACTGATCTCTGAGCACACTGAAGTTGGCTCTTCTAAAATCTAAAAGCTTTATCCTAGTACTAACTGTGAGTGTGCTCACCGGGATCCCAA